TTTTTTTTTTTTTTTCAGCTGCGATGCGGCGCGGCCCGACGCACAAAAAAAAAAAACAAAAAAAAACGGCCATATGCCTGACTGGACTGTGATTTCGAACTCCCCGCCCCTACTATTCTGCGGACCTGAGTTTCGACTGCATTTCAAACTCGTGCCCTGACTGGACTGCAGAAACTATGTTTCGGACTTATTTTCAAACTCTAACCGTGACTGCACCTAGTTTTCTCTTTTTTATATCTTTCTGGCCCGGCCCAGCAAGTGGGGACCCGGGCCACTCTGGTAGCCTAGGTCTCAATCCTTTTTATTTTATTTTATTTTTTTCAAACCAAGCCCCTAGTAGCGTACGTACTAGAGGGGGGTGATATGAGCAGCCAATCCACTACTCTCAACTCTCAAAAAATGGAGAGTCCGGCCCCACCCCTCTTACTCTCGAAACGGCCTCTCGAAAATCCACGTCGAGAACTGTGAGATACGACTCTCAAGGGTTGGAGAGTCGGAGGAGTCCCCATGTTTGCAACTTGTTTTTTTGGGGGGTAACTTCAGTAGAGTCACAAAAACGAGTTATAACTTATAATTGCACTACGGGGCAAGACACAGTTTGCAATTGCATTTCTCTCACTCTAACCGGCCAGAAAGCAAGGTCGTATACATTGTCAGAACTGCAATTCGAGCTTAGCTCAGTTGGTAAGGCACAGAAGTTGCATTCAGGAGGTCGTGGGTTCAATCCCCATTGGCCTCACGTACAGGCCTGGGCAAGCTTGGTGTTCTACCAGCTAGAGATAACCCATTGGCTCTCCAAGCCAGCATTGACAGGACCTTGGCCAAATATTGTTGGTTCTTATGCAGCAATGATATTGGCCATTCGACACCGCTAATTTGGGGTTGGAGGACCTCCCAATGCCAAACGACGATGTGCCGCTCTCGAAAGTTTGTCCTGATGCCCACCACAACGTGTAAGCCACGCCGCTGCGCGCATTAGCGCTAGCGCTATGGCTGGTGGGTGGGCGGCGAGGTGCAGGCGGCACGTGGATGGCGGCATGCTGTTTGCTTACAGGCGAGGCGCTGGCTGGTCGGAGGTGGCGGGGCGCTGGCTTCTCGCAGGTTGCGAGGCGCTGGCTTCTCACGAGTGGCGAGGCGCTGGCTGTGTGAGTGCAGCGAGGCGCTGGCTGCTGGCGGGGGGCGAGGCGCTGGCAACAGGTGAGTGGTGGGGAGCTGGCGACTTGCAGCTGGCAAGGCGCTGGCTTGGGGTGACTAGTAAGATGCTAGCTGACACGTGGCGCAGTGCTGGCAGCCGATGGGAGGGAGGCGCTGGTGCGAGGGTGCTGTGATATCGTGAACTAGATGGGGGATAGCGCTTGACGCACGCGTGCTATCCAGAGACGCTGGGTCATTACTACGTCACAGGCTGGCGTGGCATCTGGCCTGAGGCACAGAGGAAAAGGGAGAATGGTAGCAGCAACTTCGGTTTGAACATTTTCCCTCTGTTTTTCACATAAAGTACTCCATAGCCAAGACCTTTAAAGAGGCTGGAGAGCTCATGCGAGTTGACGAAAGTTGATGTCGGTGGAGGAAAGTGGAGTCAGCCCCGTGGAGACCAAAGTGCGGAGAACGTTGGTCCTACTTGAAGAATCATCACAGTGCCACTGGGAGAGTATCATCAAGAGGGCGGCCACGAGGTCATCATCAACCTATATCTGTGCTTTTGTCTGTTTTTTGTCTTGTGCAGGTTATCCATCAAGAGCATCAAGATTTTCACCATTGTCATTTCCGCGGGGGGGGTTCATCAAGGACACCATCATTTTTTGTAATCCTCATTTGGTTACCGGTGGTAATCATCATCGGCTTCTCTAATTCGTCATCCGTATTATTTATCTTCTTCATTCATCATCTTCATCTAATCATGAGAATCACCACGCTGCGGCATCGGTGAAGTAAAAAAAAAAAAACTCAGTGCGCAGGGCGCAGTTGTCACCATCATGCTTTTTTGTAGCATGTAAAGTCTAGCATTCCGCACGGCGCTCCTCGCCATCACTCTCTTCATTACTTTTCTTCGTACTTATTCTTCTTTTACCTCTTTGATTCTCAATTAATTACTTTCATCATCATTATCATCATCCCATACTCAGTCTTGATGTTGTACGATTCCTCCTCGGAAGCTTTATGTCGTAGACAGTTAGGATGGATTGAGTGGGGAGAGCTCGTTTCCACAGGGGAAACGCAAGGTGGGAGGTGTTTGCCCTCAGGGAGCACGGGCAGATAAGAGGGATTGTTACACTCTGGGGCTGAGAGAGATGGAAGGGGGAACATCATCTACTAGCGGAGGCAGAGTGGGACAAAGATAGCTCGAGGAATACCTGGGAGAACACGGGTAGCCACATGGATAGTAGGGTAGAGGGAGGATCTTCTCTTGCTGGGGCTGATGGAAAATGCCTGTCATCAGAGGGATCCTAATCAGCGGAGGCAGTAAGGGGAGAGGAGGTGAGTTAGGTGGGAAAGAGGTGAAAAGAGGTGGAGTCGACAGGGGACGCATCATCATTCATCATCTCGTCATCATCAGTCTTATTAATCATTATCCTCGTCTTCTTCATCAAGGGTGTTGTTGTGCTCTTCCTAGGTAAGTTATGGTTTCAAAAGGTAGGAGGTTGAGTGGGGAGAGCTCTTCTCCGCAGACTCGGCGCAGAGGCAACCAAGGCGGGAGGTGCTTGCCTTATAGGGGGTAAGGGCAGATTAGGGGGACTGCGCTAGTCTGGGGCTGGGAGGGATGATGAGGTCACATCATCTCCTGGTCATGGCAGATTGGGCAGGCGTTGGTTGGAGGTATACCTCTAGGGGGAACTGGTTGCCTTAAGGGATTAATGGCAGTGGAGGGTTTCTTTCTTGTTGAGGCTGATTGGTACCGCCTATTATCAGATAGTTCTACTAAGTGGAGGCAGCGAGAAGGGAAGAGGAGAGAAAAGAGGGGGAAGAAAGGAGGAGGAAAGAGGAAGATGAAGCAGCATTTATCTTCATCATCTATAGTATTATTATCATCATCATCATCCTCATCATCATCATCACATCAACATCATCACCATTGTCATCAGATTGGTTGTCTGCTCTCGATCCCTCCACTATCAGATTCGAATTCTTAGGTGACATTCTAATATAGCTGATTCTCTAAATGAGCTTTTATTGTGTTTTTGCCTAGGTTAAGTAGTAGCCAGAACGACGCTGGCCGGTGTTGGGGCATCGCCCTATAACCTTCATAGGAGCTTGAGGCCTTGGATAGAGGTCTAAGATTGCTGAGGGTGGAAGACAATCATAATACTCAACCAAAGGCTACAATTTGGTCGACGAGGGTCGGTGCTGGGGTGGGTGGCACTACCATGTAACCTCGCTAGATTGGGGTGTGAGACCAGGTAGAGGCTTGCTTGGTACACAGTATTGGCTCGATAGAGATTGGCTGGTTGGTTTGAATACCTAAGATTAGGGTTAGGGTAGTATGTGAGTTCTGAGTAGATAAGCATTCTTAGTAGTCAGCATCAATCTCTAGCTTGTTATCTTAATAATATGGAAGCGTTCCTGAATCATCCCAAATTCTCATCAATCATTAATGCATTCCAATTATAAGGGACGTTGGGCCCGGTTTCCAGCACGCGTTGCTCTCCACGAATAGATTGAAGTTTTTTATTTAAAAAAAAAATAAAAAATGGGGGAGGTGCAAGTGACTGGCCAAATATGCTCGCACTAGCATCGTCAGTTTCCCCCGTCGACAATGTCTGA